TATTTTTAATATATTGGGCTAAATCAAACATGCTTTTTTAATGTGGCTACTAGAAAATTTTAAATAATATATTTGGCACCCATTTTATTTCTACTGGACAGCAATGGTATGTTGGAGTTTATTAAATGATTCTAATCAAATCTTCATTGTTTTACTGTTGTAACCTTAGGCAAATCAGTTACACTGGTTACACTGATCATTAACTTCTGAATCAGAAAAAGAGGGCTTAAAAACAGTCCTGGGGGCTTCCCTGGTGGCGCAGTGGTTGCGGGTCCGCCTGCCGATTCAGGGGACGCGGGTTCGTGCCCCGGTCCGGGGGGATCCCATGTGCCGCGGAGCGGCTGGGCCCGTGGGCCGTGGCCGCGCCGGGCCTGCGTGTCCGGAGCCTGTGCTCCGCAACGGGAGAGGCCACAGCAGTGAGAGGCCCGCGTGCCGCAAAAAAAAACACAAAACAGTCCAGACACCTCGTGTTCATATTTTGGTATCTAAATCTATTTTCCACTAAAAAGAATAGAGGGCTCCTTGGAAAAATGGTTGATGTCGGGGCTGGGACATGTGAAGTACAAGATGAACCTGGAATATCTTGTTTGGGCAGGAAGGAAGTGCTCAAAAATAATCATTGGGCAGGGAGACATTGGGCAGGGAGACAAGCATTGGTTGGGGAGACATGTGATTTGTCAAAAAACACCGGACAGCTTGATGAGGCTCCCACTGGCCAGACCTGGGACAATTTGGAAATCAAAATAATGACAGTAATGGATTTAACCACTGAATAAAATAAGAACCCATGAGTTCATACGGATGAAAATAACTAACAAAAATAAATAAAGAAGACAGGATAGACTGCTTTATGACAGAATATCAACTACTAGTTACAGAATGATGAAGCTAGAAAAATCATGAATGAATGTTAAAACTTGTGGGTAAAGTTTTGATGAGACTATGTAAATATCCTGTTCCTCAAAAGTATTTCCCCACAAATTACATATTAATTACAAAAGGACAAATAGTAACTTTCAGGGAGAAATATGGAAAATACCACATTAACCAGATTTTCAAAGCTACCATCACCAACACTGGGACAAAACAACATTATGAATCTCAAGATATGATGTATTAAGAAGGACAGAACATGTCTTCAGAGATATTCCTGCCAAAAATATATAACCAATCTAATCAGGAGGAAACAACAGACAAATTCAAATTGAGGGACATTCTACAAAATAACTCTCCTGTACTTTTCAAAAATGTCAAGGTCAAGAAATACAAGAAAGGCTGAGAAAGTGTTCCAGATTTAAACAGACTAAAAGAGATATGACAACCAAATGCAATGTATGATCCTAGCTAGGGGGAAAAGCTTATAAAGTAAAATGGATAAAATCTGAATATGGATTATGAATTCGATAATAGTATCATTAATAGTATGTCAATGTTATATTTCCTGGTTTTAATAACTATACTGTAGTTAGGTAAGCCAATGTCCTTGGCTTTAGGAAATATAACTGAAGAATTTAGGGGTAAAGAGGCATCATGTCTCCAAATTACCCTCAAATGGTTCAGAAAGAAAAAAAAAATAGATATAAGGCAAGAATGATAAAGCAAACACTTCAAAATGTAATACAATTGGTGAATGTGGGTAAGGGTATAGAGGAGTTCCTGGTACTATTCTTCCAACTTTTCTTGTAAGTTTGGAATTATATCAAAATTAAAAGTTAAAACAAAACAGAACTTATTTCCCAGATCAAATATCCTAATGGACTACACAAGTCCTGATAATGTTTAAAAATATACTAATGCATTTCTTTTATCCTGGACTTGACTTTGCTTTAAATTATATGATTTATCAGATACTAATTATATATTCCATATATAATTCCATAAGATCCAGGACTATATCTGTTATCACTCAACATGCTGAGTACTAGGATACTATTTATTATATCCAATAAGCACTCAAACATTTGTTAGATGAACATATTCAAAAGTATAGCACAGTACAGGATGATTACAGAGAAAAATCAAATTGTAAAAAGCACCACATTGTAAATAAAGCTATTAATTGGGCCACACAGCTTACAGGACAACTCTTCAATTATAAAAAAAGAAAAACCAGGATGAAATCACAGAGTAACCATAAACCTAACCTAAAGAGATGAGTTCCACAAATAAAGAAAGGTAAATATCATTTTCCATATCAAGAGTTAAACATCTTAGCTAACTACAAGCAGTCATGGCAAGGAAAATGAACTTTTTGCTCATAAAATTAGAATATTTATATATGTTATTTAAAAAATGAATGAGATTAAAGATTTAGGCTAAGAACTGAGATTTTAAAACTTCACTACTGGCTCAATACTAATTTGCTGTAAGGCCCTGAGACACTGCTTACAATTTCCATATTTCATTTAAAAATAAGACTTGTGGATCATTTTCTTCCCCAAAGGCAGAAAGAATATTTTATAAAAATAATTTCAACCAATAAGAGCAATCAATATTCAATACAGAAGTACATATACACATATATATTCACACACATACACACATGCAAAGTAAAAAGAATATAGCTTTTTTCAAATATATTTACAAAGTAATAGCAAAAGGTGACTTAAAAGAGTTACACAAAATACATTTAATCCCAATTCATACTGTGAGTAGGTGCTTCATATATAGACTACTGAAAAAAACCCAATCAACCAGTGTATATCCTGCTTAAGAGAGTTTTATTGTTTATTTAAAAAACAAGCATGATAAAAACAAACTATAAGATGGATCTTCCTAGGTCTCCTGACTAGGACTGGGACTGTGGGAAATAATTCTCAAATACAGTTAGAGCTCAGGAAAAAATTTTCTTTCAAATACGATACAACTGTATACTACATTAAAAATGTAATATAGAGACTACATATTAGACACACAGCATTAACACAATCTTCAATGTCTTCCAATCCTACTTGAATATCCAAGTAGGTAAGACAGAAAGACATCCTATTTCCCTTCTTCCATCAAATCCAATTAATTTTGTGTTTAATTAAAATTCGACTATTTTTCAAAAGCACATATATTTTTGTGAGACGAAGCCATACTTAATGCATCTAAACAAGCGAGAAAAAAGAAAAAGCCAAAGTATTCTAAAATATAAAAATTGTCCAAAGATACCATCAAATAACTGTGCCTCGGCAAAACTTAACACAATAGTATCTCGAGCCAGTGTTACAATGCTATCATCCTGCCTGATTCTAACTGAACGAACTCAACAATTTTCAAACAGGTTGTCAGTGGAAGAGATCTTTACATAAGCAATTATAAAAACAGGGTCCATTTTGTATTCGGGAAGCACCAGCAACCCTTCGCTTAAAATTTTTATATAAGAATACCGTGAGGGTTTTTTTACACTTTTTAAAAAGAGATAAAATCACTTATGAATACCTGACTAAAGCTATTTCCTAGAACATTTCCTTAGATAAGAACAAAACATATTTTAAAGCGTAAAACAGTGAATTGCTTGAACATAACTTAAATGCCCCTACTCAGAGCAAACTTCCTTCTCGTACGTTTTCCTATATCCACCGTATTCTGCAGTGCACATTTCTGATTTGAAGTTGTACTAGTTTATCCTACCACGATCTCCTTTTCACTAGTGAAAAACAAGAAAGATCTTCAGGCGCTAACCAAACAAATCTGAGGGGGCTTGGGGAAAAGGGGCGCGAGGTGGCGCAAGAACAGATGGAAACAGGGTAAGAGAGTTGTTTTCTTAGGGCACTAAGGTTACTCCTCAACTCCAAATGCCAAGATTTAACTGCCAGTCGAGCAAGCTGCTGCCACTATCCACTCCTTAAACAATAAAACCTTCCCTCTACCTCTTCTACTCTCCCACCCATCAACCCCTTCCAAAACAAACACAACACACCCCATCCCAAAAACCGCGTTATCCCCTCGGTGCCCACTCGGTGTTATCCAACCTGCTGGATAACAGCTCCACGCACACGTCTTACTCAGACAAAACAGCGACGGCGGCAAGGTGGGGAGGTCCCATCACCTCTCGCCACCCCCGAGCAACCCTCAGAATGACAGCCCGGAGCCCAGAAGTTTGAAGCAGAAAGATTCCGACCCAACCAAAAGGGAAGACGGAATTGCAGAACGGGGATGGGAGTTGGGGAGGGCGATGTGCGTGTCTGTGCAAGGAAGGGTCCATCACATGACGGTAAAAGAAGACCCGAGTCTTCGGGGCATCCGCGAGGAGAACGGGGGGGTTGCCGTCGCCATGGCAACACCCCCCCCTCCGTCCAGACTTCCAAAGAGGGAGGAAGAACTTCAAATCCCAACCGTCAGCGCTCGAGCGGCTCCTTCTTAAAGGAGTACACACGGCGCCGCCGCCGCCGCCGAGCGCGAGAGGGCAGAGTTGGGCGCCCCCGCCCCTCGGGCGACGCCCCCGCCACCCCTCGCCCCCAGCCGGCTCACCCGCGGCCCCCGCCCCGCGAGCTCCCGGGGGTCGTTCAGGTCCCCGTCCCCGGGAACCCTGTCGCGTCGGCCCGCCCGTACCCCGGCAGCAGAAGGGGGTGTGTGTGCACCCGGCGGGGGCGCGGACCAGCCCGCCTTCCTCCCGCCGGCTCTGCCCGCGGGCTCCTCTCCGGCCGGGCGCCGACCCACCGGCCCGCTTCCTCCCTCTTGACAGGGTGGACGGCGAGCGGCCAGGAGCGCCGAGGAGTTTCGGGGAGAGCGCAAGCGAGCCGTTTCCTTGGGGGCTCGGCGAGCGGGTCCGAACTAACAGTTCCCGGGGAGCCAAAGAGCTGAGGAGGGGAAAGGAGCGCGGACCGCGCCGGGCGAGGAGCCCCCAGACAAAAGGCGAGCGCCGGATCCGCCGCGCCGCCGCCGCTCCCATCTCGCTCCCCCAATGAACTGACCCGAACGGGAGATTCAACTAAACCCCTCTGCCACAAACTCCTCGGGCTGCGGCAGCCGTCGCCGCGCGGAGCCGGGGCCCCGGCCCGTGTCTCTCTTACCTACACAGTGCATGAGGCGGTGGCGCCAAGAGTCGAGTTCCCGCCGGAATCCTCTCCTCTCCGCCGCGCACCGAGGGCTCCGGCACTGAGCAGCGGCGGCGGCGGCGGCGGCGGCGGCAGCAGCGGCGGCGGCAGCGGCCATTCTCTCTCTTCCCTTGTCCATCTGCGTCCCGCGTCACGCGCCCTCATTTACATACGAGCGGCGCAGGCACGAGAGGCAGGGGCGCGAGCCCTCGGCGCGAGCCCCGGAGCGCGCGCCCCCCGGAGGGGGGTTGATTGACACGTGTCACACTACCTTCCCTCTGCCCTTCCCTCCCCCTCCCACCGCTCCCTCTGGGAGAGGCGGGGAAGGAGCGTGAGGAGAAGGAAGCAACCTGCCGCTTCCGCTGACCCCGCCTCCCCATCTACTCCCCTGTCTCCCCTCCCCCCGGAGTTTACTCAAGCGAGCCATACCGCTCCCGCCGCCCGCGAAAACCCTAAGCAGGAGCCAGAAGCTCGGAGCCCCGCCAGGAACCGGCGTGCTAATGGAGCAGACTAGCAACGCTTCCTTTCTGTCTTCGCGACGCGACTCCGGACTCCCGGAGACTTCACTTCCCAGGTCTCCTTGCGCTGGGGTCCCGAAGCGGAGCTTGCTGCCGCGGCGCGGTGCATGCCGGTTCTTGTAGTCCACCAGGGATGGGCGTGTTTCCGTACCCTTCGCACACTTGGGCTTGCAGCCTGGCCTTCGGCTTCTCGGCTCTGTGCGCCTTGTGGGTTTAGCGCTCAGGACAGTGCGCTGCGCGCGTTGCGGGGTCCGACCCAGCCACCTTAACTTCCTTAGGATTCACGATAGAAAGGCGGTGGAAGCCGCTAGAGTTGTCGGTATCTTGAAGGTTCGGGCTGCGCTTTGTGCTTTAAGTGCTGGAAACTTTTGGGGGTCACTGTGATCTCGTCGCTGCTGAGAAGGAACAAGCCGGTCATTCGGCTGCATCCGAAATAACTGCCAAATGTCCAGAGAGAGAACTCACAGTAACTTCAGTTTCCAGGGCGATGACATCTCGGAAAGCGAGAATATTTGTAAAGATTAGGGGAAAATTGCGGGGCTTTTCACCGGAAATCGTTTACGGGGGGCTTGGAGGTGGCTGGGTGAAAACTCCAAAAGGGGACACTTCTATGCTCCGCAAAAAGTAAACTCCTGGAGGACAGCGACCCATTAAGTCTTGTGTACCGTGTCGTCTTTCACTTGCCTAACCCTAGTACAGTGCGCAGCACGGGATTTAGCACTTAAATGTTGTGGAATGAATTCTGCGCTGAGCTAGAGAAAATATTTCTTCAGAGAGAGAGAAAGCTTTTGATTAGATATAAACTCCAATGACATTTTTAACTTTTGCACCACAGTGATTGTGCATGCATTTCTGTATACGTGCAGGGGGCCCAACCGAAGTTATGACACACACAGTTTGCTGAGAAGTACTGTGGATTACTGGGAATTTATGCACAAGTCTGTGGGAAATATGTTTTAATTCTTCTTGGAAACTTCTGTGAATTCTGAATTCCATTCCATCCTCCTTGTTTCGTGGATTATCCTTCCTTATCCACCTCCACCTTTTTTTTTTTGCTTCCTAGGAAAAAGTAGTCCTTGCTCATTGTTACCTCCTCAATACTGAATACGTAGTTTTAAATTTTCAAAAATTAAAAAATAATGAAGTTTGAAATCTCATAATCATATTTTTTCGAATGGACACAATTGGAGAAGCAAGTGAAATCACTAGTGAAGGTGCTTTTGGAGTTATCAGTGGATGGTGTCAGTTGTGGATTCTACTCATGTTGTAATTGCTAAGATGGTCAGCCTCTGTAGCTTTTCTATCTCAGTACTCTACGTTGGTTAGGATGTTAGGGCTAGGTTATGGTGCAGTAACAAAGCATCCAAGAGTTTTAGTGGCTTAAAAACAACAAAGAAAGTTATTTCCTGCTCATCTGTATTTTCATCTCTGGTAGAAGGAAGGGAGAGGGTGGGGAGAGCGTCACTCCGTGAGATTCTCACCAAGCAACCAAATGCCTTAGGGAGGCTCCAACCAATCTCTGGAACTTCCTCACTTACATGATAGGCAAAAGGAAGATGAATGGCAAACAGGTTCTTTCTGAAAGTGATACAAATCAATTTCACTCACATTTCATTGACAAAAGCAAATCATATGGGCATGCTATCTTCAAGGGAGCAGGAAAGTGTAATCCTACCATTTGCCCAGAAGAAAAATTAACCCAAATTTACTGGTGAACAGCACCAGTGATTACTACAATCCATCCTTCTAGTCACCAATATACATATCACTCTCCTTACACTACAATATACATTCATTCCTATCACAAGTGAAACAATCCAAAAGTTCTGTTCAGTAATGGCATTAATCTCAAAGTCCAGCATCTCTGGGTGAGGCTTGGTAGTCCCTGTATTAGAACAGGAGAAAAACTCCTGTTGTTATAAAGATCTGAAAAGACAAAATATCTATCCTCCCTGGTTACACACACACACACACACACACACGTGCACTCAACAAACAAACACTGGTGGGACAGGAACAGAACAACCATGGTAAACATTTCTGTTTAGAAAGGGGAAGAATGGGAGGCATGCGTGAATAGCTTTAGCAAATATTTTACCACAGCTAGCGTGGATTACCAACTTTCCAGCCTGTAACAACACTTTCCTCGCCACCACCCACTGAGCTTCTAAGTCATAGCTAAATATTTTAGATTTTCTATCATAACTGTACTTCCTTCTGGGTACCAAATTCTGTGTTAGTCAGAATGGGCTCGGTTATGCTCCAGTAACAGAAACCCAAAATCTCAGAGGTTTAATACAGAGATTTATTTCTTACTTAAACTATGTGTTCTCCAAAACTCAGTACTGGGGAGGAGAGGAAGAACTGTTATATGTCCACTCAGGGACCCACGTTTATGGGGCCCCACCATCTGAAAGTTCTGCAGTCAGCATGACAAGAGAAAGAAGATGCCAAAGCACAGTCCAGCTCTTAAAGACCTGCCAGAAGTGAAATATTTCACTGGGTGAAGCAAATCATATGGCAATGCTTAACTTCAAAGGAGTGATATATCAGATAGCTTTGAGGACATAACAAACCACCTCAGAACTTAAAAGCTTATAACATCAACTATTTATTTAGTTCATGATTCTATGGAATAGCAATTTGTGTTAGGCTCAGCCAGACAGTTCTTCTGGCCTGGGCTGGGCTCACTCAGGTGTTTGTGAATAGCTGCCTGTCAACAAGGCAGCTCTGGTTCTGAGGGTGTGCCGTCAGCTGGGACAACAGAGCAATCAATCCAGGTGTCCCTCATCATCAGGAGGCTAGCCTTGGCTTGTTCACATGGTGGCAGTCACAGGGTTCAAAAAGAGCAAGCCCCAATGCACAGGCGCTTTTTATTTTTCAACACCTTTATTGAAGTATAATTGCTTTACAATGGTGTGTTAGTTTCTGCTGTATAACAAAGTGAATCAACTATACATATACATATATCCACAAATCTCCTCCCTCTTGCATCTCCCTCCCTCCCACCTATTCCACCCCTCTAGGTGGACACAAAGCACCGAGCTGATCTCCCCGTGCTATGGGGCTGCTTCCCACTAGCTACCTATTTTACATTTGGTAGTGTATGTATGTCCATGCCACTCTCTCACTTCATCCCAGCTTACCCTTCCCCCTCCCCATGTCCTCAAGCCCATTCTCTATGTCTGCGTCTTTATTCCTGTCCTGCCCCTAGGTTCTTCAGAACCTTTTTTTTTAGATTCCATATATATGTGTTGGCATACGGTATTTGTTTTTCTCTTTCTGACTTACTTCACTCTGTATGACAGTTTCTAGGTCCATCCACCTTGCTACAAATAACTCCATTTCGTTTCTTTTTATGGCTGAGTAACATTCCATTGTATATATGTGCCACATCTTCTTTATCCATTCATCTGTCGATGGACACTTAGGTTGCTTCCATGTCCTGGCTATTGTAAATAGAACTGCATTGAAAGCGTTTTTTAAGTTTCAGCTTGGGTTACATTTGCTCCAGGCCCATGGCTAAAGCAAATCGTATGGCCAAGCCCAGTGACAATATGGGGAAATAGATCCTACCTCTTAACAGGAAGAGCTGCAAGACACATTGCAAAGGGGTATGGAAAGAGGGCAAGAAATAATTTGTGCCCACTTTTCAATCTACTGCATGAGGAAAGTGCAATGCTACCATGTTCCCACAAAGCAGGGGAAATAGAAGTATTAACGAACAGAACTAATGAATATCATATCTATAGAATTTCTGGGAGAAGGGGAAGATCATGGCCAGATACAATGAAATACACAAATAGAGTTAACTTTGGAATTCAGCTTGACTTTGAAGAGCAAAGACTTTTCCATGGCAAGTGTCAGAGTATGTTGTAATAATCCAAAAACTTGATGTTCGTGTGAGCTCAGTGAACATAATGATAGAAGTCTGGCTGATTCACCTTTGTATTTTCAGCATCTAGCGCTGTTCTAGGCACTTAGTTGATGCCTAATGTTTATTGATTGATTTGACAAATGTTAGGGATATCTATAAAGACAAGGATAGAGAGGGGGTCATATCCAAGATTGTCTCCTACACTGAAAATCTAGTTACTCACAAAGGAGTTTTAACATAACAACAGATATATGATATGAAAATGTTAATGTTCTTTGGAAAGATGTTTTTGTTCTGTTGTCTATTTCCAATACATATTGTATCATTGGTTTATTGCTGTGTAAAAAGCCAGTCTATAACTTAGTAGCTTAAAAGAACAACCATTTGTTATCACTCAAAAATCTATGGGTCAAATGGGCAGTTCTGCTCAGTTGGTGAGGCTCTGCTGGTTTTGACTGGGATTTCTAATGCTGGAAGCTGCTTGATCTAGGATGGCCTCACTCTGGTCTGGAGTCTGGCTCCCTGTTTGCTAGGTAAAAGGTATGACTGAGCCATGCATCTCATTATCCAGAGACTAGCTAGAGCTTATTTATTTAGTGACAGCATATAAAACATATAAAGAAGGTAAGCACTAATGTGTAAGTGCTTTTCAAGTCTTTGCTTGCATTTGCTTGCTACTTTCCTATTAAGCAAGGCCACTCATACGATCAAGCCCAAATTCTGAGAGGGAGAATACTAACTAATGGCATGGATACAGAAAGGTATCACCAAATTAGGGTCATTACTTCAATCAAACCGCCATAAAGGGCTTCCCAGGTGGCGCAGTGGTTGAGAGTCCGCCTGCCGATGCAGGGGACACGGGTTCATGCTCCGGTCCGGGAAGATCCCACATGCCGCGGAGCGGCTGGGCCCTGAGCCATGGCCGCTGAGCCTGCGCATCCGCAGCCTG